AGCTGACCTTTCCAGACGGAGGAGGATGTTTCTGGGGTCGTTCAGCTTGGCAACAGAGGTGATGGCGCCCTTTGTATATGCCCAGTTGAGGACCTGGCTCTCGGTGAAGACTGGCAGGTGTGTGTCGTTGACTTCTGGGGACTCTCGCAAGGTGACCAGGCTGGAGTTCTGGGGAGACACACGAAAGCTCGGAGTGCTGTTCCTGGACCTGAGTCCCCTGTCCCATGCGGGAGGTCAGGAGGTTATTTGGGGAGGCAGCCCATTGGCTGAGCAGAGGCAGCCGGAGATGAGAATGCTGAGGCTAGTGGATCTCAAGTCAGCCCAGAGCCACCCAACTAGCACCCACACCCCGAGCCAGACCTGCCCCATATCCCTTCCATTCCTGGGGGGCTGGATAGACACATGTCTTTGTTCATCCACCTGTCCGAAATCATCCCCCACTCCTCCATAGTCATAATCATTCAACCCACATTTATGACACCAGGTGCCTACTGCCTGTTTCTCCTATACTCTGTGGGTCAGTGAGGGACAATTTCTGCCTTGCCCATCCCTGCATGGTGCTCAACACATAGTAGGCACTGAGGAATATTTGTCTGACTTCGCTCCCAGCCCTAGGCCCAGCAGTCAGGATCCTGACTTGTCAGCTTCACCCTGATGCCTGGCACATGGCAGGTACTCCCTGCACATGGGAAGGGAGAAAGGGAAAAAGGAAGAAATGGATGAATAAATGAATGAAAGATAAATAGAGATGGTCCCTTCCCTGGGGGATCTTACCGTGCAGAAACTAGCTATGCATCAAGTCATTTGAAACAACAGAAAACAGAGGGTATTATTTAATAAGAAACAAAGGAGCAAGACAGTTCCCCTGGAAGGACAGGGATGGGAATTTGGGGGGTTTCAGCACCTCACTGTCTCCACTGATCATTCCCCGGGAGAGACCCTGGTGGGCAGGGAAGAAAACAGGGACGGCTTCCTGGTGGAGGTGTTCCCTTGAAGCCAAAGGATTTAGAGGAAGCTGTTGAAGTCTCGGACTCAGAGGTCTAACATTCCATCTCCAAAGCCAGGGCATTGCGCTGAAGCAGCATAAACGCTTCAGGCCAGATACTAAGGGGGACTATAGGCAAGACAGCACAGAATGGTCCACCTCAAATGGGGCAGGACTTTAAGAAGGGGGCAAAGTGATGAGCACCTGGGTGAGGAAGCCAGCCCCCATGATGGAAGGGTTGGGGCAGTGGTCTAGAGCTGGAAGGAGTGGGAGGAACTTTACCCAGTCTTACCCTCAGGGTCCTGGTCTGTAAAATGGGGCTGTGACGGGGATTCAAAGGCAAGGCGTTTGTCATTTGCCGGGTGCTGGGTCTGGCCCAGAGGCCCATGTCCCCAGCCAGGCTGTGGTCCCTCCAGTGGTGTCCTTGCAGGCCAAGGCTGCTAGCGGCTCCAACAGTGCCCCCCCACCCCCCGCCCTGGGTATTCTTAGCTCAGGGAGGAAGGCAGGGGAAGGTGCGGCCAAGGCAGGAGCTGGTGGCTGCTGAAACCTTCCAGCCTTGGCAGCGGGGCACATTTCCGGTTCTCTGCTCACCCAGCGCCACGCTGGGCTCAGATCCCCCGCCTGGGCCACCTCCAGAGGGCAAGGGGTGAGAAAGGGGGAGGGGGAGCCATTACAAGGCCTGGCTTGGGAGCTCCCTCTGGGGGCCTTCAGGCTGGTCATCTCTGTCTGTGGTGTCCCTGCCACCAGGCTGGATCCTTCCCCCTCCCCCACCCACACTTGTCCGTCTCTGGCTTGTCTCCCAAGCGGCCCTGCATCCAGGTCTGTCTTGGGGTCTCCAGCTTCTCTCCCCAAACTGTCTCTGGTCTCTCAGTGTCTGTCTGTCCCTCCCGCAACAGGCCCACCCTCTTTCCACTTCTATTTTTCTTTGTGTGTCTCTCTCTCGTTCTCTTTGCTGTCTTCGGTCCCCCTGCCCCACTTTTTCTGGCTGTAAACAACAGCTGCTCACATCGTGGGCAGCTTCCAGGGCCTCCATGAGGAGGAGGCAGTGCTGACAGCCCGCCCCACTTCCTCCAGCCCTGAACCCCCTCGCTGTGGGTCTCAGCTGGTTACCTCCTCTCTGAAAACTTGAGTTTTTAAAAATTATTTTTTTCTCCCACATAGGCCATGTTAATTAGAGCGAATCTTACAAAATAAATGTCTCTCTTAATCCCACTTCCCAGCCATAACTACTGTTAACACGTTGTTAGATTTCCTCCTGACCCTTTTCCTCCGTACTTAAATATTTTCAAATAAATGTCTTGTAACATTTCCCAAAGATAGTGACCAGATTATTTTATGAGATGTCATCGAGTCCAATTCTCCCACTGGACTGATGGGGAAACTGAGGCTATGCGAGAGGATGGAGTTGGCCAGGGTTGTCCATCCACCCGCATCCCACCTCCAGGCTTGGACTGTACCCCAGACCCTGTAGACTTTTGGGTTCTCTCTGTCAGGCAGGGCCCCACAGGATCCACCAGGCAGGGCCCTCCCATGGCCAGTGCCTCAGCCTGGGGTCAGAGGTGACACTCACAAAGGCCAGGTGGAGTGGGATTCCTGGGGTCTGCAGGTGCAGGACAACACTCTTGTCTACGCGGAGGACCAGGAGCACCCCTCGGGGCCGGGTGCCATTTGGCCGGGACATTTGGACAGTCAGCTCCAGCTCTGACACTTCCTGGGGGGAGGCAGGGGAAAGACACACAAACACACCAGTCAGATTTGCGCAGATTGCGCCACCCAGACCAGCGGTGGCAACCAATGCACCATCGGCTTTCACTCCATTCTCCCCGTCCTGCCTCCCAGGGCCCAGCATAGCGCCTGGCCCTCAGGAGGGGCTTGGAAAATATTTCCTGAATGAATGAAAGAGATTAGTCCCAGCAAATCCAAAGACATAAAGACAAAAAAATGTGATGAGCCTGAACTTTATCCAACAGTCGATCAAGGTTTGTTATTTCTATTGAGCACCTGCTGTGTACCAGGCCTGCGAGCATCCATGTGACTCAGAAAGTACCCTGTGCCCTTTCTCTGTCCCTATACAGTGGTATCGAGGCATCAGCCCCTCCTCAGACTCACAAGGACAAAGACAAATGGAATCACTTCTCTCCTCAGTTTGCAGTACTACTGCTTGCCTTATTATTATAAAGTACTAAAATGTCCATATTTTTGTTGTTACACTACCATTATTTCAATATCTTATAAGAATGTGAAATCGAGATCATTTACATCTTGAGAGGTACCTGCGGCATTAAAATTTTTAATTAATCATTGTGTATGTATTTGAAATGCTTCCAGAACAACAACAATAACGATACCTGACACTTATATAGTGCTTACTATGTGCCAGGACTGTTCTAAGTGCTTTATATATTGACTCATTTAATCCTCACACCAACCCTAAGAGGTAGGCACCATTATCAGCCTCACTTCCAGATGAGGAAACAAGGCACAGAGAGGTGAAGTCATTTGTCCAAAATCACACAGCAAGGAAGTATGGAGATAGGATACGGACCTGGGCAGGCTGCTCCTCTCAACCTCTAGACCTCCCAGCCTGTACCTCCTTATTACCAAGGAGAAAAAGAACACAGCAATCTACAAAGGCAATGATTCTACTGAAAGAACAACACTTTCTTCTCAAAGACTTTCTGACCCAGTGGAGTGTGAGCTACTGAACTTGAGACAGGTTTATGCTCCAAAAGCTCCACCACAGACTCACAAGGACAAAGACAAATGGAATCACTTTACTGAAAACACAGACTCCAGCTGCTCTCAAAGCTGGCAGTTTCTACAAAGAGACAAAACCCGATCCCCCAAATCTCTTTCAACTTATCAAAAATGAGACGGATATTTCAAGACGAAAAGATCAGTGGAAAGTTTTTAGACTTCGCTTCTAATTATCTCCTGGCCATTTCCCCAACTGATGTCACAGGGCCAGAGAGTGTTTCAGCCGCTGGAAAAAATCTGCCCAGAAATATTTCCATTACTCAATAATGACACCATAATCACTCTTTGTTTGTAGGTTTGCTCTTTAAAACAAAAAGAGCAAATAATATTCTATTTTCAATGTCTCGCAAATCTTTTTTTTATTTTAATGAGCTAGTTTGCTTATTTTTGAATTATTTTTATGCTAATTTATAGTAGAATGATAGATGTGTTTGAAATTTATGTTCACATAAATTCATATTTTTTGTTCATTAATGTTGTCTGATGGGCTTATAACTTTTGGTTTTTGAAATCTCTTGTTTCATCTATTTTTAAAGTATTATGCATTCTAAACACTTAAAAAATTAAATACTGGATTTAATATCACATTTTGGTAACGTACGAAACACAAATCTGAATATCAGAACCGATATTTTGTTCCAGGACTGTGATCACTCCTTGAAATTAACGGGAGTGAAGGGAGACCCACTTCAGTGATGCCGAGAAAGTCCCAGTCCCAGCCGACCTGCCAGAACCTTTGACGATGATGCACCGCAGCTTCCGTACCTTGACGGTGTATGTACTATTAGCTTGAACAATCGAATATGATTATACAACTCCGTACATGCACTAAAAACCACTCAGCTGTACTCTTTAAATGGACAAATTTTATCTCGATAAGCTGATGAACATTCGACAATTGGATATCAGTAATTTCACGTGGTTCTGCCAGATCTGTGCCTGGCCCTATGTGCTCACCAGAACAGGGTCAGGTGTTCTCCCATTTTACAGATCCATCCAGTGAGACTTGGAGTGGGAAACCTGCCAAGGGAACTGTCGGTGAGTGGCAAAGTCGGTCTGGTGCCCAAGTGGCGCCCACAGCCCCTGGACCTCTGTCTGGGCAGCTCACCTGGACAACGTCCTCTCTCTCAGCACCGCCTTATCAGTCTGTCCTCACCCCGAGGAGTGAACTTTGAGACCCCATACAGGACAAAAGATGAGCCCCGTGGTTTGGAGATGCCACGGGCTACCTTCTCTGGCCCTCGGTGGACACTGCAGGCCGAGGGCACCTACAGGTGACGGAGAGCCGCCGAGGGAGCGCAGCCCCTGAGCTGGAAGGAAAAAGCCTACGGACATCTGCTCCTGCTGCTGTTCTGCAACAGTCCCTGTTCCTTTGTACCTCAGTTTCCCCATCTGTGAAAAGGACGGGGTTGGGGACCAATACCAGGTGGGGATCTAGATAAAGAAATCAAAAAAGAGAAGTGGAGGTCAAGGTCAGGTCATGCTAGGGGCGAGGGGACGAGGAGACTGGAACTTTGGAACCTTTGTCATGACACTCAGCTCTTCTTCCGGAGTTTACGCACCCCTTAGTTGTCACTGAGTCCTGCCCTGTAGAATTGGGAGCTAAAGGAAAGGTGGCAGAGAGCTGGGGCCAAAGAGGGGCAGTCATGGGCCGGGGCCACACAGCAAGTGGGCAATGTGGACTGGCAGGGAGGCTGGAACGCGGGGCTGTCTGGGGTCTTGGAGCTCCCGGGCCTAGCTGAGGCCAGCTGCTTACCAGAAAAAAAACAGTCAGGGTTTCCACAGCAAACATTTCCACCCCATGGCCCTGACTCATCAACGAGGTCACTCACACGCACACTGACTTCCCTCTTCCCTCCGAGCCCGGGGCCTAAAGGTAAAGAAAGGGGCCTGCCTACCCCCCCACCTCCAAACGCCCAGTCTTCCAAGGGCCAGCCTGGGAAATCTGTGAGCCTGGCTGAAGCGGGCAGCCACCTCCTTACCCCCAGCTCTGCAACCTGGGCCAGCCTGGGTCGCCCTGGTCCCCTCCCTGTGCTGGTGGGCGGGAGTCCTTGTTTCTATTTTTGTGCCAGTGTCCCACAGATGCCATTGTTGGCCCAGCGGTCAGTGGCGGGAAGGGGGGATTTCGGTGAGGAGGCCCTGAGCACTAGTAGCCGCTTATAGAAAGTCGCTTCCAGCAATTCTTCTAGGAGTGGAGCCTCCTCGGGGCTGCCTGCAGCCCCCACCCTCCTAGGGCCAGACTGGAGCCGGCCACATTGGAGCCAGACGTCCCTCTGTCCACCCAGGCAGACTCAGATGGTACATACAGACAGCGTGGCCAAGGAAGGGGTCAAAGCCAGACTGACCTGAATTGAAATGCAAGCTCAGTCATTAGCCTGTGACCCTGGACAGTCACTTCCCTTCTCTGAGCCTCGGTTTCTTAATCTGGGAAATGGGAGGCTGAAAAATACGCCCACTTCAGAAACTTGTGAGCATTCAATGAGATTCTGCCTGCAAAGCAGGTTGTCCGGTGCCTGGCTAAATACATAGTAGGCTGTTTTCATTGCCTGCAATTCCCTCCTTGCCCACTCACCCGAAGATGCCAAGATCTGGGGGCTGGGAAGGCTGACGTTAGTGGTAGGCAGCCGTTAGCCAGAACTGGGGCGTACCTCAGCCGTACTTCCCATGGCTTGCCCTCTCTGGGCCTCAGTCTCCCCATATGTACAGGGAGGAGTTAGGCTTAGTGTGACCCCTGGATTTCATCCTCCCTTCTGGGGGTCCCAGAGTTTGGCATCTGGGAGTCATGGTCTCTGGCCAGGTGGCCCCAGGAGAGACATGCTACTTTGCCCAGCTGAGGGCCCTGGTCAGCTCAGGCTCTCCCCACCTTCCCGCATCATTTGCCTGTCTGAGAGGCCAGCACTGGGCCCAGCCTGGGGCTTCTGTCCTTGAGGAACTAGGCAGAGGACAAGACTAACACTCCCAAACAACCAATGATGAACAACAAGTGACACCACTAACCCCTGGGTGATAGCCAACCAGCAAATGTTTGCATGTATATATATTTCTCCTTCTTTCCTTCCATTATCCACTCATCCATCCATCATTCATCCATTTATGTATCCATTTATCCGTCTGATATTTATTGCCAGACTGACTCTGAGCTGGACACTGGGGACACAGCAGCGAGAGAGCTGGCGAAATCCCTGCACAGCCCGTCTGACTCCCAGTCCATGCCCCTCCACCAAGCCTGCCCCTAAAATCTGCAAGCAAGAATACAAATGGCAGCCCCTGACCCCCAGCCCACCCCCTTCTCTTCATGAGTACGCATGTGACAAGCCAGCCTAGATGCCTAAGCTCTGCTGTGCCCACCCCGCACAAATAGTCACCTTGCCGTCCTTCATGTCTAAGGGAGTTTACACCAACTATCTCTAAAGGATGAGACGAGAAAGAGGCCTCATGACACTATGAGAGGAAGCTCAGTGCACTTGGGCAGGAAACTGTGGAGTCCTGGGTGCCCACGGCATGGGCTGAGGGGGAGAGGGGTGCAAGTTCCAGGCGGGCACCCCAGGGGAGGGATGCAACTGAAAGAGGACCAGAGAGGCGCCACTAATTGTAGAGCCTGGGCAGGATCCCCCTTTGCCCAGGTGTGAGGGCACCACTGCCTTCCACAGCCCTTCACAGCCTGCCAGGACATTCTGAAGAGTCCGGGACCCCTCCCGCTCTCCTTCTGACCGACAGCCTGGCCTGCCCCTCTGGTCAGGAGTGAGTCAGTGCAAAAGCCCAGCAGGTTCCACGGGCTTGGGGGAGGGACATCGGCTCCCAGAGTTTACCCAGAAGTGGGGTGAATCAGCGGCTGTCGCAGCTCTGGCCCTGTTGCCTGGGGTTTGTTAGAAGGACAGCAGATCAGTACAATCGGGCTGACGGGAACTGCGGAGACACCAGGCCGGTTTCCTGTCTCCGCGGGTCAGGATGTGACCCTGGGCCCTCTCCCGGAATCCAGGCTCCGGCCTGCCCTTTGGGGACCCAGTGAGATAGAGTCCCAGCCCAGCGGCCCTCTCGTCCCTCGTCTGTCTGCAAACCTCCCCAACACACACACACTGAACCTCTCTTCCCCAAGGCTCTTGGCTGCCACAGCTCATCTGCCGCCCACCCGCAGGAAATCTGAGGATTCTGAGGCCACGCAGGGATGCATGGGAAAGCGGTGTGGCTGTGCCAGGATGTGAAGAAGGCAGCCACAGGCCGGGAGGGACTGGGCTGCTTGTTAAGACGGCTGGCTGCCCACGCTACAGCTGCCGCCTTGTGTTCCTTGCCTTTAGGCCTTTGCTCATGCAGTGCCCTCTGCCTGGAAGGTCCTTGCCCCTCTTTCTGTTTGGCTAGACACTGGGAGCCATTGCCCTAATGCCCCTTTCCCTCCACGTTCAGCGCTCATCCCGCTGGGGCCCACGGCCCCCATACCCACCTCCCCCCAAGTGCCAATTCCGTCCCTTAATACCAGGGCTGCTGATTCTCACCTCTGTCTACCCCGGCCTGGGAACAGCCCGAGGGCAGGGGCTGGGTCTGCTTCTTCTCTGCACCATCAGTGCCCAACACAGCCTGGGCACAGAGCAGGTACCTGGCGAGGACTAGTAGAGGGGGACTGTGGGGCCGTGGACCCCACTCTTCGGGACCGCCCGGGGAAGAAGGTGCCTCCCAGGAAAACCACGGGTCCTTCAGTGTCACAGTAGTAGAATCCGGTGGGATCACAGGCTCTACCCTTGGGGCAGGGAGGTCAGGAGCACCAGGGGGCCGACAAGGGTCGGGGGAGGGCTCCATCAGGCTGGACCTCGGTTGCTCCCTCTGAAAATGAATTCACGGCCCCTGCCTCAGCCACCTGATAGAAATAACCTTGGGGGATCGAATTAGTTGACTGACGTGAGCATGTTCCATGAACTGCAGCCTGCACGGCAAAATGAGGGTATTTACAGGTGAGACATGGAACCCAAAGGGGAGCCTTCCAATAACGACACGAGGCACAGCTACGGGCCATCGAGCAGTCACTCTGCGCAGGCCCGTGCTCGGCATTTTGCTTGCCCTGTCCCATCGGATTCTCTCAGCCCCCTGAGAAGTGGGGACTCTTCGTCTCCATGTTTCTCATCAGAAAACCAAGGCTCAGAAAGGTAGCCCCAAGGTCGTGCCACCATAAGTGGGGGAACCAAAGTTCAATTCGAAGGCTGCTTGGCTCCAGAGCCCATGTTCTTAACCCCTACATCAAGGTCACATAGCAGCGCATCTATTCATTCATCCACTCATTCATTTGTTCATTCATTCATTTATACGTTTCACCGTGACTTGGCATATGCCAGGTCCTGGCCCAGATTCTGATATTCCGTAATTCTTTGGTGAGTCCCTGAGCGCAGGGAATGTGTGTCTGTTGGAGAGTGGGGAAAAGGAGCCCCCTCGGCATGCCAGGCACTACATGAGGTGGTGGCCAGTGACAGATCCAGGACTGGAGAGCCCCAGTCTCCCGAACGCCAGCTCTCTCCACCACCCCCTCAAACACACATGCCTGGAAGCCTGGAGCTTGCAGCCTGGCTCCTGAATCAAAGGCCAGACGCTCCCTGGACTGAGTTCTCTGGAAGAGGCAGAGGGGGACAGAGACATTCTGTGGTCATGAGCTCTAGGATGACCTGAGTTACAGTGGCACCTTGCCATGCCCCTAAAAACTTGTCGCTACGCACAGAATAAAGACCTTAATACGATGACAAGGTCGTTTCCGTCTCCCCAGCTCTGTTTCTAGGGTCACCGTAAGCTCCTGCCGCAGCGAACAGCATGCCGACCCCAACCGAGGCTCACTTCCTCATCTGGCTGTTTACTTTCTCCTCCGCTTTTCCCCTTCACCTCCTTCACTCAGTGAGCCCCTGGCTGTCTCTACTGTTGTTGCTTCCTCCAGGAAGCCCTGCTTAATCCCACAGCAGCTGGAGTACCCCTGCCCTGTGCTGCCCAAGGAGGCACCAATCACCTGGATTTGGGCTGGCTGTCTACACCTCTGCCTCCCATAGACCTGAGTGCTTGGACTCTGGCCCACTGTTGAGTGATTAGGGTAGGGGGACCCCAGTCACCCAGAGGAGGCATAAAGACCTGAACTTCAGAACAAACAAAATGAACTTCCAGAGGACAATCTTATTTTTTCATATCATCACCAAACTTGAAAAAACTTACAATGGCTATGAAAACCATGTAGCGTGTGTTTGGCGCTATCTGCAGCTTGGGGATTATCGAGGCCCACAGTCCCCGTGGCAGGCAGGCGGTGGGGAGAAGCCCCCCCGATACTGGTGGTCTGGGCACTGTCTTATCACCATACAAACGCAGGGCAACTTAACAGTTTTGGGGGCGAGTTGGCCCCAAGTTTACCCCGAGCTGACACCGCTAAATCGCTATCAGGACCTGAGGCCACATCAGCCAGGTGTGGTCACTAGCCCAGGCAGGCCAGATGCTGCCTGAACACTGAGATCCCTGAGCAGCCAGGTGACAGCCTGGCTTGGAGTCCCCGGAGATCTGGTGTGAACTCTGGCCTTGGGTGTGTTGAGTCACCTCTCCAGGCCTGCCTCAGTTTCCTCCTCTGAAAAGTGGGGATAATAACAGACCCTGCCAGGTGGGCCCTTGGGAGGCTCAACGTATGTTAATATGTTTAACTGACTTCCTGGCACATAGTAGGCCTAGCACAGGACCTAGCACATAGCAAGTGCTCAGGAAATGTCTTATTTTTTAGAAGGACTTAGACAAACTGAGTGGTGGACCTCAGGAGGGTTCTCGGGGAAAGAAAAATCTCTGAGGCTGTCATTGCTGGCTTCCAATCTCCAAGGGGCTGCTTGCCAGGTCACAGATGTTCGGTGGGGGACATTCCAGGGAGGGATATTTGAACTCGACTGAGGGAAGCACTTTCTCAAAGTCAAAGCTGCCTAGAGTGGAGGTGTCCGTTGCGAAGCAATGAGCTCCCATCACTGGAGACACATGAGCAACAACTCACTGGTCCGCTCCACTGCCCACCTGGCTCTCCTCTACTCAGTCGCCAGCCAAACCCAGCCCTTCCCACCTGGGTCTTGTGGTGGCATCCAAGAGATTGCCCCAATGCCGGCCCCAGAAATGGCAGCCTTCACAGACCTTGTGAGATGCCCGTGTCACCCTCCAGGCAGGGGCCCTGGTGAGGACTCGGCCCATTGCTCCAGGGACAGCCACAAGGAAGCCTCCCCTCATCCATCACTGGGTCCCCGCCTGACCCTGCCATCAGACACTCACCCTTGAGAACTCCAGGAAGAGGATGTGGACTTCAAGGGTAGCGTTGGGAACATGAGCCACGCAGCCCTCAGAAACCTGGCTCGTGAAATATGTCACCTCGGGGTCCACAGGCTGTAGATCACAATGGACAGTTTCTGCACGACCTGTTGGGGAAGCACAGAGAGGGCCAGATAAGACAAAGGTGATGACAGCTACTCCCACTTTGTGAATGCCTACTGGGCGCTTGGCTCTAAATAAGGGCTTTATTGCATCTTCACAGCTACCTCATGAGGTGGGTGCCAGATCTATTCCTCAGGCTCAGACAGGAAAAATCTCTTGCCCACAGTCATAGCGCTACTAGATGTAAAGCTTACAGATACAATGTAGGACACCCCGTTAAATTCGAAGAAATAAAAACCTGAGTAATTTTTAAGGTATAAGTATATCCCAAATATTGCATGGGACATACTTGTACTAAAACTTCTTCATGGTTTACCTGAAATTCAAATGTAACTGGGCATCCTATATGATATTTGTTACAATCAGTGACCTTACCTGAGTGGTAGGACCCACTCATCCATACACCCAAGTGTCCAGGTTGGTAAACTCCAAAGGAAAGCAAGAACTGAGGTCAGGAGACAAAACTCCCCGCTCTGGTGCCTCAAGAAAGCCGGGAAGAATGGAACCTTGAGAGTCTCCTGGCCCCAAGGGACAGCGTGAGCCGCAGGGGTGGCCCAGGTCTGGAGGGCGGCTGCGGGAGTCGGCCGCGGAGCCTGCCCCTGTGCTGCCCGGAAACGCGGGTCCTGAGGGAAGGGAATGGAATTTCGCCCTGACCCAGCAGAGGAGGAAGAGGAAATGAGGCCCCTACACCTCGTCCCAAGGAATGTGCCGGGGGAGGGGGGGGCGCTCCGGAGGAGGGAAGGAGGACAGAGAAGGGGAGACTGTTTGGAAGTTTGTGTCTCCATCTTGTCGCGCTTACTTCCTGTTTTCTTGGAGATCAAAGATGGGCGCGGAGGGACTGGCCACACGTCCAGCTGACGCCAGCTCAGGGGAAGGGGGTAGGGAAGCTTCTTCTGAATCCCAGGTTATTGGGCTGTCTCTGCCTAACCCAGCCTTCTTCCCCACCTTTCCGCCGCCTTGTTGGGCTCAGGACTATCAGAGGTCAGGGAAGGACGTAAGATGTCCTCCCAGCCACGCGACACCATCCACCAGCAACGTCTTGGGAAGGATGAGTTCAGGACAAGGACATGTGGCCACCATAGAGGCCCAGGCCTTATAAGTCCTTGTCCTCGACCTGTTCTGTGTGCCAGGGACTCCAGAGTGCCCAGGTAACGCGGCATTTTGGTTCAAAGCAAGGTCCCCTAGAGGTGGGCTGACCTGGGATTGAATCTCAGGCCCAACACTTACTAGCCGTGTGGCTTTGGCGAATGATTTCGCCAGTTTGGGCTTTGGTTTTCTTGACTGCAAAAGGTCAATAAGAATAGAATGCACACAACCCATAGAGGCTGTTGGGAGGACTCCGTGAGAAGGAGCATCTGGCAGTTCTTTTCATCACAATTATGTGATTGACTTCAGTCGCTGGAGAAGGGTTGACTGCAGGGGATGGACCTCTGAGGGGCTCTGACGTCTCAGGCCAGCCGACTCCCTCACCCCAGTAGACTCGAGGGCTGGCACCATCTCCTGCTGTTCCACCCCTTGTGACCACCAAGCCCCTCAAGCTCTCCACCATCTCTTTCTTCCTATCAGTGAACACACACTTTTTGGCTGGTACCTAGTCCGAGACCCTCCTGTACAGATGGGGATGCTGAGGGCTGGAGAGGCTGGTTGTTCCAGAGTCGCATTGCACGTGGCTGACCAGGCTGGGCCTCAGACCCACCTCTCCCCATATGACCCAGGGTCTGGCCTGCAGATTAGCGCAGCGCCTTCCTCCTTCCCTTTGGACTTTCCCTGCCCCCTCCCCAGACTTCCAGGAACCCCAGTTCCTCCCGGATTGCCGGGGCCGCTTGGGCCACCTCCTCCATGCCGTCAGCCAGCGGGAGAGGCCGCAGGCCTGGCCATTATGTAATGATCAGATAACAGGCCAGGCTGGGAGATCAGATAAGAGGTCCATTTATTTTGGGGCCTTTTCGAATCCTGGCGGCCCCCACCCCACAGACGAGAATGGGGAGACAGGAGGGAGTGTGACGCCCGGGGCCTGTCTCCTGGAGCCGGAGGCGGGCCCAGACAGAGCTGAAAACAATCCCCGGGCACCAAGGGAAACGCCAGGGCCTCCCGGGACCTAAATTGGAGGAGGTGCCACTGGGGAGCCTGGGTGACCGGCCTAGTGAGAGACCCGGGAGCCACCTTCCTGCTCCTTACTGACCCCCGAGCACAGAGCCACCACCTTGGGGCTTCCTAAATGGCCACCTCCAGCTCCTTGGGAGGCCACAGACAGCAATGGTCAAGAAAGGCAGCTCTGGAGTCAGATGTCCTGGGTCAAATCCCAATTCTGCCTCTTAAAACACCTGTCGCCTTGACCAAAAGCCTAACTTCTCTGAGCCTCAGTTTCCCCCTTTGCAAAACAGCTTTTGTCAGACTCACTGGGACCAGGTACTGTTTCGAGGCTTTGCACGAGCTCATTCATTTCGTCTTTACCACAGCCTGTGAGGTGGGCACTGTTATGATGACCATTTGACACATGGGGAAACTGAAGATCGGGTAGGTGCAAGAACTGGCCCCGAGGCACCCAACTATTAAGTGGCAGGGCCTACATTTGAACCCAGGCAGTCCAGCTCCAGCAGCCATCACCCACGTCACAGGCTGTGTGTCATCTTGGTGAGGCGACCCATGTAAAGAGCCCGTCACCCAGTAAGTGTTCCGTGATTATTTCATAATACCAGGGCAGATCCTTTACGAGAAGGTCTATTCTGCTTTTCTCTTCTTCAGTCACCCAGCCGCCCTTCATTCTTTTCAGTGTCCAATTATAGCCTCACAGATTTCCCAACGTCTGGCCCAACCTCTCCTCCCGGGCCTGGCCACCAGTGAGGCCCCAACACTCATTCTTCCAGTCTTTCTCGAGACTCCCCAGCGCGCCTGCAGGGTCAAGTCCATACTCAGCAACCGAGAGAGGAGTTAAAAAGTACAGGGAGCTGAGAGATGCCAAAGGCTCATGTCCTGATTCTGCCACCTTCCAGCTTCCTTTCCACGGCTCGGCGTTATTGTCTGTAAGGTGGGGATGTTGATAATCATAATCCCTGTCTCATCGAGCTGGCGTGAGTGTTAGTAAGATGGCACACGCACAGTGCTGAGCAGGCTCCTGACGCATGAGGATTGCTCAACAACTGGCAATGCTGTCACAGTTATTGGTGTCGCCTCAGTGGGGACATGCGAGCTTTTCCTTCAAACAGAACTCATTCCTTGCCTCTGCCACGCCCTTTCCTAGACCGAGGGACTTCCTTTATTTAACCACTCAGTCAACTTCTATCCATCCTTCAAAACTCCGTTGTGAAAATCTTCTCACCAGAACGAATCCAGTTTTGCTCTAGGTGGGAGGACCACTGTCGAAGGAGGAAAGGGACTGAATGCCCAGGGTGAGAAGATCTGGCCACAGAGAGCTCTTTGTCACTTCTGCTGAGGTACTATGGTGCAGAGGGTAGGCATGGGGCCCAAGCCCCAACTGCTCATACCTGGGCTGTGTTACTCAGGCAAATGCCTTCACCAGCCTGTACCCCAGTCTCCTCAGCTGTAAAATGAGGGCGACAGGGGTGTCTGCTTCATCGGGCTTTTGTGAAGGTTGAGTCTGATAGGACACGTAACAGGTCTAGGGCGGCATCCAGCATCCAGTAAGTGCTGAATCAATGTCGACTGTTATAGTTGTTTCTCCCTCCCTACCATCCCCCAGCGCCTGTCACAGGACTGAAGTCAGCTCAGTCCTGGATGAGGGTCCCCTTCAGCCTCCAGGGCTCAGGTCCCAAAGCTAGAGCTGGAGCTGAGAGGGGAGGGCCCAGAGCCAGGGCAATCAGCTCTCCAAGTCCCCATACCTGGCCACCAAAGGTGCAGGGAAAAGAAGCTGGATTTGGGAGCAGACAATTTGGGGTTGAAATCTAGACCTGCCACTTGTCCCAAGCCTCGATTTCTTCATCTGTAAACTGGGTATATAGAGACAAAGAGCCGCCCGATGCACTGCAGACAAAGAGGCGGTTTCCTCCCTCTTCCCCGGGTTCCCCTCAAGCCCTTGAGCAAATGGACCAGGTCTGTCCTCAGAGAGCCCGGCACTGACCCATCCGTGACCTTGAGAGAAAGACTGTCTCTCCATCTGAGTCTTAGTGTCACCATCTATCTGGTCAGGTGAGAGAATCTTGATAGTCATCTCCACGGACCCAGGGACCTAGCTTCTCCTTGGTTCACACTGCTGCTTTGCCAACTTCTTTTTCCTCCTGGGAAATGGGAAGCTGCGCCAGAATGCAGCCTTTAAGAGATGGATGTTTGTGGTCTCTGTCCCGTGTCCCAGACCTCCATGTAGGTGGCCGGCAGCATAAGGACTCCAAGTCACACCTCTGGCTCACCCTCTGGCAAACGTTCATCCACACTTAGGAAATACTTTTTGATCCCAGCCACCTAACTCGGGCCACGAATCCCAGCACCCCCACTTCTGGGACTCTATCCAAGTGAAATACTCCAAAATACAGGAAAAGGTGCGTGTACCAAAAATGTGCACGGAGGTGGTATTTATAATTAGTCTCAAAGGGAAAACCATCTGAATATTCTTCAACAATAGGGGATCCATTAGGCAAATGATAGAAGGCACACTTAAGGGAGAGAAGATTCCAGAAGCACAATGGGATGGTTACGGAGTCCACACGACAACATAGAGGGGTACAGAAGACTCTCAGATATTGATCCACCTGCATTTAAATTATTTGAAAAGCTAGACAAAAACTAGTAAGTAAGCCACCTGCATGCTAACGATTTTCTCCCCTTATCTATTGTCTTCAAGGAGTGCACTAAAGTGAATATGTAGTTAAATCGCTTTTTTAAAATCTCTACACATTTGTTCTTTTAAAAAATTTCAACACGCAAAAAAAGTGTGTCTTAGAAAGTGAAAATCCCCCAGAGAAAACAGTGGCATTGGGACTCGCTCTGTGCATATTGTGCATTATTACTATTTTATCCTTATAGGAATGAATCATTGCTGTTTGGGCCCCTAACAATCTGTCCCACACATCTGCCCACAGCAGTGTAGACACAGAGCTAGCTTTTTCTTGGTAATGGCTGCATGATAGTCTACTGAATCATAATTCATTTAATGAGGCCCAGGCCCATGGACATTTGGGTGCTCTCCTACTGTTGGGTTTTTTTGTTACAGGTCCCTGCGGACCATGCGTCTTTTTAGAGCTGGGCAAGTAACTCTTTAGGTCTAAATTCTGAAGGTTGGGGTATTACGCACGTTATGATTTTGAGAGATTCTACCAAGCTGTGTTCCCAGAAGTCCGGACCTGTGTTTGGACCTGTTTTGGATCCATTTTCACCCCCTGCAGCCTGAATAAGGGTGCCTGGGTCATTCCTACCCCCTCCACCGGTGTGGAGATCTGGGTTCTACACCTTGGCCAAGGCCCCCATCTGTCTTCCGCGGGCCTCAGTTTCCCAGACTGTAAGTGAGTTGGGTTGGATGGTTTGGGTTGCCATGGAACCCTATGATCACTGGGTGCCTGTACCTGCTCGTAGGAGCAAACTCCTAAATTACCAGGGTTTTTTCCCACTGGCTGTTAAATACAGCCATAATTAAACATTAAATTTTATAAGCTTACAATTAAACTAATTATACGTTTTGAAAAGGTAATAAATAGCAAACTCCTTACTTTCTAATTATTTGACTCCATTTTACTATTATCTGTCCTCTTGAGGTTATCTACATGTCGTATGTGTGTGATGGAAATTCTAGAAAGGGTGTCCAGATGGGCACCAGGGACCAACTCCAAGTACGGTGAGTTGGTAGCTTGGAGTCAGCCATGCGGGGACATTTAGACCACGGACACTGACAAACGCTAGCCCCCACCTCCCCACCCCTGTTGTTAATTATTTGCCAACACATCGCTGCCTCTGACCCTATAAAATCAGACCATAACGGTTGGCATGGATGTTTCTCTGATGACCAAGAGGAAGGAAGTGTTATCAAGCTAGAAATGTGGCGTCGGCGGGAGGAAGGCAGGGCAGCTATCGTGGGGCTCAGGTAGGGCTCCTATCTGAGCTGTGTGAACTTGGCGGGCCACAGCCTCCCCTTCCTGTCCTATAAAATGGGGTGATAGTGGCAGCCATCTTGCACGGTTATCGGGAGATGTATCAAGAGGGGTTGCCGCCTCACACGTGGTTAGGAGAAAGAGTTCCGGAGAGCCACAGGCCCAGGGTCAAATCCCTGCTAAGTCACTTAGGGTCTGAGGCTCAGTTTCCTGTCAATCAGTGAGGCCGTGGTAAAAACTTTAGAGACCAAGGATTAGGGACTTTGAAATGCTGTGGGTTTGGATAGGGCAGGGAGGGGGTAAACACCGCTACTGCTGTGCCACTCCTCATCAGCCCCCCCAGATCTTTTAGGGAGTTCATAGGTGCACCATGGGTAAAGGGGTATCCATAGGGCCATCCTGTGGCTTTAGGTGGATGTGTCCACAGGGCACAGTGAGGCCGCAGTAACTGGGATAAGGGACTGGGAGTCCCCAGCTCCTCGCAGCCCCTCATCTGGTCAGCTTCAGAAGGCGGCAGAGGCAATGACTGCCTAGCAAAGCCCTCAGGCTGAGGATACCCCACAGAAGCCCTGGTCTGGGACTGTGCCCCCATCCTGAGAGCTTCTGGGGGGTAGTGAGGGGAGAGAGGCGAGGGAGAGTACGGCATTCAGAAGGCGTCTGGGAACCACTTACAGAATGAGGATGGAGGATTTAAAGCTAATCATAAAACAGCAACAATAACAACACAGAGACAACCAGCCTGCCTGAGAGCTCTCTCTACAAGACAGACAGAGCCTCAACGCCGACCTGCCCACAGCCCGAAGTGAGCCTGTTAACTAACCAGCCCCGCTTTGCTCAGAGGCTGGAAGGCTGTCTCCGAGATCACACGACAAGGAAGTAACGACAACCTAGAGCCCGACTCCGAACGTGAGTCCTCGCGCCCCCCTTCCCACACCTTGCTCAGGTGGAAACCTTAAGGCCCAGAGAGGGCAGGAGACTCTTGGAGGCTGCACAGCACTCTGGGACCTGGGCTTCCTGGGGAGAAATGGGCAGAGGCCAGAGGGCAGGGTTAAGGTAAATAACTACTCACCCTTGTTTGCTCTGACCTTAAGGGCTAAACGTCCTTGGTCCTGCCAAACTGGGATGGTTGGTCACCCTGCGGCTATCCAAACCACCCAGGACAGCCACACTGTGCATGAGCTCAGGACGCAGGGAGGAGGCTGGGAGTACTTGGGGCCGGGTCTCCCCCACCCCAGGTCCCTGGACACCTACTTGTGGGACTGAGGCTACAGACGGCCAGCAGCAGGGCCATGACCAGGGCGAGCGTGCTTCGGTCCATGCTGTCCACCCGGGGGTCCGTGTGCTGGGCCTTATCCGGTGTCCAGGGGCAGGGCTGCAGGCGGGCGCGGGGGCCGGCGTGGGCTCGTGCGGGGACCCAAAGGGAGCAGGCGGCCGGAGCAACGGCGTCCCTGCTCCAGCCTTCTGAGGTGGCGGCCGAGGGGTCAGGAGAAGTGGGCACAGGGGTGCAGGGCCGGGCCAGGGGTCGCTGGCCAAGGGATGAGCGGGGAGGGGGTGCTGGGCTCCCGTGGAGGGCAGCGGTGGCAGCAGTCCGGGGCTGTGGCTGCAGATGGAGGCTGGGGTATGACCGTCAGCGGTGGGGAGCTCCTGGCTCATCCAGCCCGGCCTGGGGAGGCAGGAAATGCGCTTCCTTAGAGAAGGGGCCGGGCCAGGCGGCCTGCCAGGCGGGAGAGGAAGTGCCGCGAGCTTTGTCGCTGGGTGGGGGGCCCTGGGGAAGGGGGGGAGGCAATGGGTGGGAGGACCCAGGCTCTAGGCTTGTCTCCCCAAGCACCCCACCCTCCCATCCCACCTTCTCCAGGGCTGGCTGGTGGGGTGCATCTGACAGCCCCCGGGGGACAGATGAAAACAATCACCCTAACAGTCCGCCAAGGGGACCTCTCAGGGGTCAGGCCTTAGCCACGGGGGTCCATGTGGAGCTCACAGCCTCATGAAGCCCATTTTCCCATTTTGCAGATGAGAAAACAGAGACCTAATAAAGTAAGCTAATTGGCTTAAGAAGATAGTAGACTTGGGATTTGAACAGATCTCATCGGGGACCAACGCTGGCTCATATAGCATGACACTGGCTGCCATCCCCTTGTTTTTCAGGCAGGGAAACTGAGGTCCAGGACAGGGAAGGAACACTCCCCAAATGGCACAGTATGGCAGCTGGGGCCGAGGTCTCAGGGACCAGAGAGGACAGAGGACCTTCCCAGAGCCACACATTTTGTATCTACCCACTCCATGGGTGGAAAATTCTTCAGGGACAAAAGATAGTCCCAAATGAAAGGGGGACACACAATTTAATGACATTTCTGAAGTCAGATAACCCTGGGTTCAAGACCCTGCCTTGCTCGCTCTGAGCTATGTGACCTCGAACAAGTTCCGACACTCAGTTACCCTGTTTGTGACACCTTTAAGATAAAGTCCTGGCATTCAAGGCCCCCTCAAACAAGTTCCGACACTCAGTCACCCTGTTTGTGAAGTGGGCACAAAGGTGCCTTCCTTGCCAGCATGTTGCGAGATTTCCAAGTCACCCTGTTTGTGAGGAAGGCACAACGGTGCCTTCCTTGCCAGCATGTTGCGAGATTTCCAGGGATCGAGGCACTACAGCGCTGAGCTCCGCACCTGGCACGTGGGGAGTGCTCCCCATCAGTGTTCCCTGAGCCTAAGAGACAATCCCAGAAACGTCCCTTGTTCATTCTGCAAACAGCAAGCGCCGACAATGTGCCCACCATGGTGCTAGTCATGGGTAGCGCTCAGGCCCATGGGAGCTCAGAGGAGGAAGCCCAGGCTGCCTGGAGGAGGTGGCATTTAGGCATCCACACCTGGCACATGGGGAGTGCTCCCCATCAGTGTTCCCTGAGCCTAAGAGACAATCCCAGAAACGTCCCTTGTTCATTCTGCAAACAGCAAGCGCCGACAATGTGCCCACCATGGTGCTAGTCATGGGTAGCGCTCAGGCCCATGGGAGCTCAGAGGAGGAAGCCCAGGCTGCCTGGAGGAGGTGGCATTTAGGCCCCGCCTTTAAAAGACTGGGCGAATGGGAGCGGAGTAGAAGAAAGAGATGAGGAAGACATATGTGACAAGGGACCAGCCTGAGCAAAGGCTCAGAGGCAGGAAGTGGTCGGACCACCGTGGAACGAGCAGGGTATGGTGGGGACAGTAAGCCTGGAGAGGCAGACTCTGGCCCTGCTTTGGGAGGGGGCCTTGAATGCCAGGACTTTATCTTAAAGGCCATAGGGAGTCATGGAAGGTTCTGGAGCAGAAGGTGCTGGCAGAGCTGGGCTTTGTAAAGACAAATCTTGGCGTGTGCTGGCAAGACATACAGAGGGGATGGAACCAGGGGCTCCTTCTCTTTATACTTGTTCTGGGCCCCAGATGGAGAGATGGAGGCCCAGGGAGAGAGGAGAAAGTGGGAGGCCTTGGTGCCTCTGGAGGGAGCAGAGCACGCAGTGCGTTTGTCTCTGCAGGAGCTGACACGGGCGGGCGGGAAGGGCGGGTGTGGCTCTGTAACTGGCCAGGCATGGGTGTGGGGCTGTGGGAGACCCATCCATGCCCCTCAGGCTGGGAAGGCTGAGGCAGAGCAGAGGGGGCCCACTTGAAAGTGGCAGGTCCTCTGCCTTTTCCTGTGCGTGCAGAGATGAGGAGGTGGGCACCATGAGGCAAAGTGTGGCCTCAGTCGGGGACAATAGGGGTGACTGCGAGGTTTCCCCAGGCCCCCAACCAGGAACAGTTAATCCAGCCCCAAGGGCTGAACTCTCCCTGTGCACCAGGCCCCACCCTAGGCGTTCACCTTATCAGCTCTGGATCCTCACAGCCACCCCTGGAGGCCGGTGACATTAAACCACTTACAGAGGAGGAACCCAAGGCTCCCTGAAAAGTGAGGGACCCCCGGGCTGGAAAGTGAAGACCCCAGGGTTGTCTGGCTCCGTGCTTACCTCCTTCCCTGCTGCCACTACCTGAGCTTGCCATGGCGAGGAAAGTTGTCACCAGGGCTGCGGGTGTCACAGGGCGAGGGGAATTGTTGTCCAAAGTGATGTCGGGGCCATAACAGGGACCGCATAGGAGGCTCGCCCCCAACCTCCCTCCCTCCCACTTTCCTCCACGCTCTGCATCCATCCACATCCACGCTTCTAACGAGGCCCATCGAGTCTCTAGAAAACAGGAGAGGCTGCAGGTGGATGGACATGAGGAAGAACTTGCAGGAAGCCTCTAGGGAGGGAAAACCTACAGGAGCCACAGGAGGACCTGGACCTGCCCCCAGAGACCCCATGGAGGAAGAGATCGGGGTCCCCAGAAGTGGAAAAGAGGTCACCCGGAATCTCCCACAGCACCCGGGCCCCCCCTCCACCCCCGGCCTATGTGGGGTCGTGCTGTGTGTCTCTCCACTCAACTAGAAGCCCCTCGAGGGCAGGGACTTTGATGCCGCTATACTGCTGCGTCCCCTTTGACCCTTGAGATCTATTTATTGAAAGCACGAAGTGCCCTGGAAGGTAAGGTAGGGACAGAAATCATGAAAACATAGGGAAACTGAGACACAGAGAGGTAGGTCTTGCTTTTGTTCTCCAGTGGAAGAGGCCAGTCCTGGGCCTTGGTCACCTGTCCCTGGGAAGCTTGATGGTCATATGGTTTCACAGCTGGGGACAGACCTTGGGGTAATTGTCTTCAATATCCCCCCAGATATACTGTTCCTTCCGATGGACACAGCTACCTCTCCCACCCCCTCCCCAGCCCTGCACAGATCAGAGAGGAAGGGGGGTGGTCGTTCCTTCGGCTCCTTCCCTATAGAGTCACTGCCAGTTAGGGGCCTCTCTCCACTGAAGGCCGCAGCCCCGACCTGGCCCTCTCCAGACGACCCTTCAGGCCGAGGGCGGTCATGGCCCCTGCTGCTGCCAGCCCTGGGGCTCAGCACTGTCCCTTGCGGTT